TTCCTGTTCTGCAGCACATAAAACACTCAGAATTACAGCATCACAATCACATCATTATACACCATAGACACAAAGACAAACAAGCATACCAAAGTTCAGGAAGGCAGCATTTGCAAAATAGGACGTCTAAATATGAGCACAACAAAAAGTGTCCTTACTTACTTACAATGTGGGGGGTTGCCAGTTGGGCTTATTTTGGGCTTGTTTTCATAGAGCTGGTTGCTTGTTTCTGTCGTGAGATCTGGCAACAAGCAAAGTGGAGGACAGGTCTGGTTTTTACCAGGTAGTATTCTTTATGAGCTTTAGAAGAAGTCTGCAGTGAAATTTGTTGATAACTCAGCCTCTGTTGCTGAATGACAGACTATTTCAGTGTTGATGGAGGCATTTACGAGGTGTAATTGAATGCACCGTGAAGTTAAAACTCTCATCTGTAGATGGAACCGTAATAAGCTTTAAACACGATTTTTTTTCTCAGGAGCCCTGAAGCTCAAATGTGTGACCGCAGTTACACGTTGATCAATGCCTAACCTGCTGCTAAACTCTAACATCATCACATTCAACAAAAAGAATAAAAACACAAACCTGATGTCTGCAGCTCATCGTTCAGACTGTAAACAGAATCGATGCAGATCTCCATGTTGATTTCATCTTCCTCATCTTTAGCTCTGATAAAATCCTCCGACTTCTCCTCTTCCCCTGTTTTTACCTGCTGTCTTCACATCTCATCAACATTTACCGAGCTGTTACAGCTCAATACAGCTCTGAATTAAACCAATCTGTCCAGCAGGCCACGTGAAACACCGTTAGCTCGTAGCTACAAAGTTAGCAGCAGCAATGGTACTTCCGGTACCTGTGTTCTGCCGAGAAGGGTTATCTGCAGAATCAAAGTGGGCGTGTCACAAGAGTGGGCGCGTCTAAACCATAAACACTGTGGGCTATGAGGCCTACATGATGGTATCGTTAGACCTGCTTGATCTCAGGCCTTGATTACAGCCTGACCCTGACCCCAACACTAAGGTTAACCAGGACAAATGTGACCCAAGTAAGGGTCTCCTGAAAAAGTGGTGCCATACAGTAACGCCCCTTTTGTTCTTGTCCAATAAGATGGTGCCGTACGGTAACGCCCCTTATTTGCTTGTCCAGTCAGGTGTGTTTCTTTAAAAAAGTCCGTCAAATCAGGTGTGTCGCTTTAGAATCGACTTTCCTTGTAACACGCCCACTCGTCCGCAGAGACCCCCTACTTGGTCAGGCCGATAATACTTGTTGACCTTCAAAATAAGAGCTCGGAGTAACCTGCTTCTCAGCACTACTCCAGGATGCAGCCTAATCACAACTTTTGTCAGGTTAAAGCTGGAAATAAGTTTAAAAACTCTGCTTACCTGCTTCTGTTCTTCTTTAAAGTACAGGTACACAAAGATTTGTGCAAGAAGATAAATTAAATTGTTAGTTTTATATGCGAAATGAGGAGGGTTTATTTATTTATTTAT